AGTCTAGTAGCTAAGCGTACGCTGCTAGCGAGGTTATAAGTAAGCACAACCCAACAGTTCCATTCAAGATCGAAGCAGCTTTAAAGTGCTTCCTGATTTTTGTCGCACCTCAATGAAAGATAATCCGCGACAAATATCACCAATAATAAGTTTATTCATCCAGAATAATCAAGACAAAAATTGGTTGAAGTAGTCAGTTTTTATTAGATAATATTGAATCATATTTTTACACGGATTAATAAAATTGTTCACACCCAGGAAGAATGAGTCATTTTGTGTAATGACCCTATGTTTTGATGGAAGATTATGGTAGACTGTCTAAACATTTGTAATAATGACGTATGAAAGAAGTAAAGAGAAATCCGGAGTGAAATTTTTCAATGTTTGGACGGTTAATACATGATGATTTATTGTCGTAGATAAACTTAGTGGCTTTTTTAATTTCTGATCATTATGTCAAAGTCATCCTAGAAAATAATTCTTTTATCTGGACACCTAGATTTCCTCGAGTTTTCTAGAGAAAAAAATCTGGACTATCTATAGAACTAACCGTACTAAAAATTTACATCGTTTCTTCTATTCCTCAAGTATTGTCGTATGGGTGCTTTGTAGAGATTGTTGAATTCTATAATTCACATCATGATTTGATCTCAGTAAGACAGCTAAAAAGATTTAAGAAGCATTGTGCATCTGCTTTACCTTGTTAAAGTACACATCAAGAATTCACAATAATGACTCTACTCAAAATCGAGCCCTGAAATTTTACATCTTGCATTGAGTGTCTAACATTTAGATCTCCAAGGTAGCACCCGATGATTTTCTCAAACGTCTAGCTATTCACAACCATACACGAGTAGAATAGGAAACAAGTACCCTCAAATAGCATTTGAAGATAGTTGGTCAATATTATGAATTGATTCAAGTTAAAAGTAGTTAACTATTGAATCTCAACTCAGTAGTCGAAATTTTAAGTGCTCGTTAAGGGATCTGTAAACTGTGGCTGTGGACCTCAGTGTAATTATGGATAAGCACTTCTAAGGAGTTTTATACCAGGAAAAAAGTGGACTCAGTGTTACTTGGCTTTTAATGATTGTCTAACTAAGATGAATCCATGATGTAAAATAAAAAATATTATTATTTCAAACCAATATATCCATATTCTATAAATTACCGTTATTATTACGATGAAAATGTGCTTGATTAATAAGTTTAGTAAATAAATTAAACATAAGTATAATCAGAAATAATATCTTTGAATGAACATTTAAATGAGATTATTTTCCTTAAGGTGATGGTTGGAGGTAGTCAACAGGAAACCCTGGACACGGGTTTTGTGCTACTTGGCACTCGTCAGCAAGGTGTACCTGTAATCTTGAGGGAACTGGTGCTCCCTGGTGGATTCGATCTCGTGTCACCCAGCTTCACAGTCATAGACGTTACCACTGAGCTATCCGAGCCGTGACTAACCTCCTCTGGACTGAGATGTAATCACAATTGATTGATCACTGGGTGGTGATCAATGTCATGCTTGTCTAGTCCTTATTAGTGCAGATCGACTGGTGGCCACATTGCAACATGATTGATAGCATTCGATCTGCACTAATAAGGACTAGACAAGCATGACATTGATCACCACCCAGTGATCAATCAATTGTGATTATTTTTCTTAACAAAATATGTCATAATACAATAATACCATCACAAAAACCAATCATTATGGGCAAAAAAGGTTTTTTCCCCTTTAATTATGAGAGGATTACTATCAACCAAAAATAATTCATGATATGACTAATCAAAATAAAAGTGACCTTTTTTTCATTGGTTATTTATGTGATAACAAATATCACTTTAGATGACTAACAAAATTATAATACTGAATATCTTTTAGACTACTTAAAAGGTTTAGAACTATGGGGAAAATAATACATTATTGTCTCAGTATTTTATATTGATAAAAGTTATTGTCAGAATGGGGGTTTGTGGAGATTGTAGTAATTTTAATAGTTGAATTTAAGCTAGACCACCATTGAAAACCTGGAAGTACTGGGCGGCTGTTTTGTCGTAGTATAGGACTCTTCAATAATGAGCATCCACAATGCCGCACATTCAACTCTAACCCAAGACTCTCGATATCGCGCGTGAACGCTTAATCCCTAGACCACTGAGCCGACATCCAGTAGTGTTAATGTATAATTTCAATCGATCCACGATTTTGAGAAATCCTTCATTGATTACCTGATGTGGATAACTGTCTTCACACAAGACGGATTGGACTCCATTGGTCACGGCTTCTCACTAAAACTCCAAGAAATCCATCTTGAAGCTAGTCACTAGCACATGATTATTATCAAAATGGGGATTTGTGAAAATTTTAGTAATTTTAATAGTTAGGTATTAACACCTTTGGATGTCAGCTCATTGGTCAGAGGTTAAGTGTTCGTTCACGAGACAGAAGGTCTTGGGTTCGACTTTCTTGTGCGGAGTCATGGATGCTGACGGTTAGGGAGTCGAAACAGCCGTCCAGTGCTTCCAGGTTTTCAATGGTAGTCTAGATTAAATCGACTCATGAATTCAACCATTAAAAAATTATTGTTTTAACTGGAAAAAAATATTGCATTATAATTTCGTCATTATATTTAGTACAAAGGTGTTACTAATCATCGAAGTAAAGGAATATATTTCATTAAGATTAGTCCTCTTTCATCATCTTTTAGCTAACAACGAAGTATTTCATGTTAATGGTATTATGTTAAATGATGATTAAATCACTTGTAAATTCCTTCTACACATATAGAACAGTCATGATCAATACCACATGATAATCCTTTATAAACATTTGGTAGATGGACCAAATACTGAAGTCCATACCAAGACAATGTCAAGATGACACAGAGAGAATAAAATAAATACTTAGTTTTGACTACATGTAAATCACTTTAAACGATTGTTATTCAACGGATAAATTAATGGGTGATTGGTACAAGAATGATCTTGTTATGTAAAAATAGAAAGAACTAATTTGGTGATTTAGATAAGTTGATAAGTTATATATACATTGTAATATTTCTATTATCATTTACAGATCAACGTTCCGATTAGTTATCCATGATTATCGAATCGGTTAACAATAGAAAGCTTTCATTGTCTTGAAATAATTAGAGACATTGTTGTCAGTATTTCCTTAGCTTTATGTATTCTCACTGATATGGAAGATTCATAATAGCACTGATCAATAACATTATAAGAGGATTAAGGATAAATTATATGAGGGTAATAAGTTGTGAATATATCTAACCTTGTAGGATACACAATACACTGATAAGACATTGAAATAGACAATGATTCGCTAATATTAGATTTTAGACGTATTCGAAAATGCTTGAGTATCACATCATATCGTTTAAACAGTCAAAGTTAGGTTTGTACCAATGTCATCGATTTTCAGCCATATAACGTATTATTTGTACTTTCATCAAATACTTAACTGGCAAGACTACAGAACTCAATGATTTAGTGCCATAATATAATTTGTTAATACTAAACTAATACTCAATTTACCTTTCTTTACTTAAATAAATATCATTCGTGCTTAAATTAATTAATAATTAAGCGTAATAACTGTTTTTGGGTTACTTGTGTTTTTGAATCAAACTATTTGTAACAATTTATTCATTAAAGCAATCCCTTCTAACAATTTCATTTTTAAGATATGCCAACGGTAATTTAAGAAATTTGGGCAGAAACAAATTTTATAAAATTGAATAATCATAAAACAGAGTGAATTAGAATTATTACCGTAGATACAGAATTAAAATATGAAAAGAAGAAAGACAACTAAATAAATAAAATAACACTATGAAGTAAAATCATGGTAAAAACAGGGTTTATGGTGGAGTTTTGTTCTCTAAGCTGAATGGTATGGTATTGGTTTGTTAAATTCAGGTTTTAAACTGTGACTGTAAAAAGGCTTCTATAATATAAAATAGGTTTAGTTGTACATATATTTGATTGGATTTTGTAAAAATCTGTCAAAGGATGAATCTGTGGCTGAATATCGTTTTTCTACCATATGTTGACCTATGTTTTCTTTTGCTAAGTTATACCAGGAGGTGTTATAATAATAATAAAAATTATTATTATTATTATAAGCTTTATTCAATATTATGTTTTTGGTACAATATAGAATTCTCAGCACAAAGTATTTCAACAAGTTTCCGTTTCTTTCTTCTTGGTCGGTCCTGGCGATAAATATTGAGTGATCGCCAGTTAGATGTTAGCAGTTCAGTAAATGAACATCTGAATAATGTGCATTCTTTTCGTTGTATATTGCCAGCAACCACATTGTGTCTTATTGAGTGTTTTGTAACTTTGACAACGAAAGGTTGTACACTTTTCAGAAACGCAGCAGAATAGCTTATGCGATTCATAAACATAATGATATAATAAAACAAACAAAAATAGATAAATTGTTAAGATATCTAGATGGCAGGAACAGGTAGCCCAGAAGCTCAAGCAGGCCGCCCTTTATTACGTAATGTACTGGCTAATTGGTCTCGAGAAATGATCTGTATATCTAACTCTATAATAGCAGAGTGAATTGGTAATTTATTGCAAAATATCTTTTGCATGGAAGTATGTATTATTATACCAATTTATACAAAGATCTATTGAATTAAATATTGTTCGAATTGATCATTTCAGACAATTTTTTTTAAATAGATCACCAACGATATCATCTATTCATCTAAAGATTCTTGAATAGTAAATTCATAAAAAAACAGCTCAAAGAACTCAACATTATCAAAGTATTCACTTTCACTATAAACTTTCTTTATCCTTTCACGACACATATTCTTCTTAATAAATCTTAAAAAGTATCGATTCTTTGTAAATGTAGATTACAAAATGAATATTTCGTTTTCTAGGTGACCTAATGAATAAATTTCTCAATAGTAATAATAATAATTTTTTAATACAAAAGAAAACAAAAACAACTATACCTTGTATTAAACGTTTTTGTGATTCATCTAACATATATTTACAATATTGTATAATTTCTTTAAGTTTTAACCATTCTGAATATTTTAGTTTGTAATTATCTTTTATAATTTGTATTTGTTTTATTAAATTATATTCATCTTCAGTAATAATTGATTCATGTTCAACAGTTTGGATCAATCCTATACAACAACAACAATAATAATAGTGAACTCATATTAGGTTTGGAAAAAAACAACATTAGTATCAATGTTTATATACTCACTATAGTTACTACAACTGCTGCTACACAGGCCGTGTAACAACAGCCTCAGCAGCAGTAAGTCTCAATATACACAAAGGAAAAAGCAAGATTCTCTAATACAACACAACATGCACCAATCCAATCACAATTGACGGAGAAGATTTGGAACATGTAAACACCTTTACATATCTGGGCAGCATCATTGATGAACACGGTGGATCTGATGCAAATGTGAAGGCGCGGATCGGAAAAGCAAGCGCAGCATATTTACAACTGAAGAACATCTGGAACTCAAAGCAACTGTCAACCAACACCAAGGTCAGGATTTTCAATACAAATGTCAAGTTAGTTCTACTGTATGGAGCGGAAACCTGGAGAACTACGAAAGCCATCACCAGAAGATACAGGTGTTTATTAACAGTTGTCTACGCAAATCGATTTGGATCCGTTGGCCGGACACTATTAGCAACAACGTACTGTGGGAGAGAACAAACCAGATCCCAGTGGAGGAAGAAACCAGGAAGAATCGCTGGAAGTGGATAGGACACACATTGAGAAAGCACCCAACTGCGTCACAAGACAAGCCCTCACATGGAATCCTGAGGGTCAAAGGAAAAGAGGAAGACCAAAGAACACATTACACCGGGAAACGGAAATAGACATGAGAAGAATGAACAAGAATTGGATGGAACTAAAAAAGAAGGCCCAGGACAGAGTGGGTTTGAGATTGCTGGTCGGCGGCCTATGCTCCATTGGGAGTAACAGGCGTAAGGAAGTAAGTAATTGTTACAACTATATATGGTCTAGATTTTTCAAATGAAAATTAATGTTTTAATCAGTAATCTTAAATTGTATAAAGCATTAATTTCTTTTTTGAAATAGAAACAATCTAAAATAAATAGATCATTGTAATATGTTTAAATCAATCATTCATTTCACAATATGAACTATAATTAATTAAATAACCAAACTAAGATCAGTTAATGAAGTGAAATGTCTAATTTTAATAATCTTGTTCACATTCGAAATCATTTTAGTTTATTTGAACACCAGTGATGAAGTAGGATTTGAATACTACTGTTGAACAAAATCATAGAGTGGTATCGTATCCTTGAAATGTAACATTATTATTATAATAAGCATTATTTAATATTATATTTTTAGTACAATATAGAATTTTCAGCACAAAGTATTTCAGCAAGTTTCCGTTATTTCTTATTTCTCCATAGATATTGGTGATCAGTAATGAGTAATCGCTGGTTAGATATTAGCATTTCAGAAATTGACATTTGAATAATATTCATTGTTTTCAATGTATATTGACATGTAGTGCCCCCAAATGCCCTGGTATGGCCGAGAGTGAGGAGAGTCCGCTCTCCCTCTCGAAATGCTCTCACATGGCCACGCGTATATAGCCTCTGCCAGGGAAGTCCTACTCACTGCCTTCTTGTGGCAGGGATGCTGTTTACGAAATTGAGAGGACGAAAAGTGAGTGTCCGGCGCTTTAACCGGGTTGGTGGACATTGAGAGTTCATCTAGGGGAGTTGGAAAACCCTGATTCCAAATCAATGATGCACATGGGCTTCAGTATCCTAAAGGAACAACTTTATTCAAAGACCATTATCAGTATATTAGTTTTTTAGCGTCAACATCGATAGCTGAATAACTTTGTTCTTGCCTCTTTGGAAAAGTAGTGTAGTATGTTTGGTGGAAACCGTTCAACATATTGACTAAGTCAAGGTGTGTGATAAGGAGTTGCTCCTCCCTCTTCTATTTACTCTCTTTTTATCTATGATCTGCCATCTTCTATATAAAACAAGCAAGCATTTAAAGTTCTTATAATCCCACTTGTGGAATTGGATCTACTTACAGATGTAAGCACGTCTAAAGCATTTTCAATTTGTTTTTTTCCTGTTTTTCTCTTATTCTATATAATATCTTGAGGAATAAATGTACTATTACTACTATTACCATTATTCTATATTGTATGTTAAGTACAATATAAAATTCTCATAACAAAATATTTCAACAAGTGTATTTTACAAAACAAAACAAATCAATAATTGCATACATATAAACGTGAAATAGGTAAATAAACTATCTAGAATGAAATGAGGTTGTGATATTTCTATTAATTGATGACTCCATTGTACTTTATTCTGCGCTTACAACTAGTTCCAAATATAATACGTTCATCAGCTGCTTACAACCATATAAGTATTAAAAGTTTAAATTGAGGTGAGATATAATGTGAGAAAATTGACGTGTGGTGAATGAAAAGAATTGGAATGACAAAGGTTATCAATAATAACTTTATATATATGCAGGAATAGGTAGTTGGTCGTTTGATTTTGGAATCCGAAACAAAATAAAGGGTGGTCGACGAATTAATTAATTGAGGTTCAGAGACAGATAAAATAAATTGTGTAATAATCTTGAAAGTAATGGAGGATTTACACAAGGTTTCTGGGATTGAATAACTGATACGATAGGTCACGTAATAATTGAACAGGATTTGAAGATGTTGGTGCCTAATAGTGGAATACAGGACGGACGTTTCGTCCTATTTGGGACTCATCATCTGTATGCAACTCCGTTCCTGAGTTGATGTTCACTCCAGGACTCAAACCCAGTACTGTTAGCTTGAAACGCTATCTCGCTATCTACTTAGCTACTAAGTCCTAATAGCCGCTAGCTTATGAATTAAGATTAAGTTTAATTCATTTTCGTATTGGCTGTTTCAATCTTTCCATTGATCGGTTTGTTATTGGCATGCATGCATCCTATGCGGATTGCCTCGATATTGCCTTCAGTTTACTTTAGTTTAGAAAATTAAGCGAACGCAAATGTATGAGTGAAGGGGTGGTTTTAGTGCACATAAAATAAGAATTTGGCAAGGGAAAACCACATAACAAAATGAACACTAACAAAATAAAGATAATGACAAAAATTGATCTACCGGAGTAGTAATAGGTTTGTTAATGTCTTTTTTGGGATATATTTGTTAGGTTTTAGATTTTTATCGCTGTTGCTTCAGAAAACCGAAGTGTTGCGGTGTTTCATTGTCTGACAATAATTTTGAAGGCTTGAGGAATGTCAGTGGTGTGCTTGGTGTCAAGCAAATGCTGAGCTTTTGCACAGTTAAAAGTCATCGCGCCTCTCAGTCTCAAATTCTTTGGAACTTGCTCGGAAGTGTGAACATGTACTATTCTCTGTTTTTTTTCAATGTATGTGTTTTGACACGTACATATAAATTGGCAAATGCAGTTGGAGGTACTGATAAATGAGCGAGCAGTTGGTTATATATATATAGCGAAACCATCCGCATAATTAGTAAAAATGTTTTATATAGAAGATGGCAGATCATAGATAAAAAGAGAGTAAATAGAAGAGGGAGGAGCAACTCCTTATCACACACCTTGACTTAGTCAATATGTTGAACGGTTTCCACCAAACATACTACACTACTTTTCCAAAGAGGCAAGAACAAAGTTATTCAGCTATCGATGTTGACGCTAAAAAACTAATATACTGGTAATGGTCTTTGAATAAAGTTGAAGGCAGAAGTATAATCTGGAAATGCACATGGAACATACTTCTAAGCCTTTTCCAGGCTGAACGCCATATTACAATGTAGAAGCACACCGGCATCTAAGGTGCTTATTTTACGTATGTAAGCGACTGATGTGGATTAACACCTTCTTTTAATGCAAGCTGACGTGAGAGTAGAAATAGATTTTCCATTGTTTTGAGCAAAGATGAAGTTATTGTTATGTGTCCAAATTTTGGTTTAATATTACCAGATACCTTATTTGGTATTGGAATTAACTTTGTCTTTCTGCATATTTTCGGAATAAAATTTGTTGTGAGGGTTTCCTTAAAAACACTCGTGAGTGGACAACACAGAACATCAGTACACTTCTTAAAAATGTGGTTCGGGATTTCGTTAAATCACAAACAATGAGTGAGTTAAGTAACTGGAAATATTATTGGACATCTGTTTCAGTGAAAATTGAAACACAACTCTTCTTCAAACTTGTGATGCATGTTGTCAGTTGATTGACGTGCAAAAGACATATTTAGATTCCAAACGTTCAGCTGGGTATCATCACTAATGCATCTTCCACTAGTAAGCTCTTTAGATACTTTCCACATATTTAAACAGGCTTTACAAAGTATGGGTTTTTGAGTAAACATCAAACCCAGTCGTTTAATTTTTTGGTCTATTTAATCATTTAGCTTTCGAACTTCAATGGAACTTTTCTCCTTGTTTACTTTTTCATTTTCCTTATGTAGTCATTTAAGTTGTAAGAATATAAGCCTATACAAAGTTACAAACAGTTTCAGTGAGGCAACAAACGTAACAGCAAAATTTAAGATAATAAAATCAATAGTGTTTTCCAATGAGTCATTTGTGAATAAATCCTAGTTTGTCATAAGGAACATGCTTTTAGATTTTGGACATTTTCTTCTGAGTAATTCCTGTATTCGACTTTCTTTATCCGTTATAAGCATATGCCTTTGTCCAAGCTTGTTATATATTTTAGGTAGAACGTGAATAATACGCTGATCAGAAATAAGCAATGGAAAACGTTTAAGAGTCACATATATTTCTACACTATGAATGAAAATCGAGTTTAAACGTCCACCTGAGTAAGTAGGAGTATTGACTACATTTATTGACCAATTGATGAAAAAAGCTGTAATCACGTGAATTACAATCACTATATATCACTGGAAGTGAACTGCTGAAAGTAGGAACAGCAAATTCGGTGAATTCATCAACGAAAACAGATAGTGAAAATTGAATGCAGTCCGGAGTCACGTAAATGTTGATAACACAAACATAGTTGTAGTCGTTCAAGTGTTTTGCACATCTTCTTAAGGCTGAATCATCTAACTGTAAACATGAAAAATCGAAAACAGTTCATATTTACA